GCGCTTAAAGTTCAGCATCCATTCAGTTGTTGTGTTGAATGAGAGTCTAAGCAAACATAGAAAATTGAAACTTTTTTTTTGTAGTCATGTCTGAGGTTTGCAGAGGTTCGGCACCATACTCTTTGGTGGCAAACAGCAGCAAAAACTCAAATATGTGCACACGCATTTCTATAAGCAGCAAAGGATATACAGCAGGTAATGTTTCACACAGAAAATAAAGAACAGTCACTGCTGTTAAAATAAGCATCAAAAAATATAGGTACAATGCTCTCTGCAGCCATATCTACCGAGATATGTATGGAAATATCGCTGTCTGATATGACCTTGACAAAACCTAGTCATAACTTCTAGAAGGAAATGAGTCTAATATAAGGAAGGACATAGGTTATGTTTATTAAAAGAAAGAAATAGAATTTTTATCTTCCCAGCTTAAATTTCCCTAGCTTTTGAACTTGTAAATAGATATGTTTTTCCATATGTAAAACTTTAATCTATAATGGGGATGAGGTTCTATAAGAAATTAAACATATTTATTTGTATTCCACAGTTTCTTCTGATTCAAATGTTAACTGTCCAACTTATTAACAGAAAACTTCTTTTTTGATGTGTAAGGATCGCTTACTTTTAATGGGAAAAAATGCACCAGATCTGATTATCATATAAATTGTTCTTGAAATAAAATGGGTTAGAAGAAATAGGCACTTGTCAGACCAAACCCATTGCTGGTAGTACCTTAAATCAACCCATCGCTTTTGTTCCCCTGCTGCTTCTCTTACCTGAGGGATATCACTTACTTAAGGTCAAATTGATCTTTGTTGGGGGTAGATTGCTGCTAGTCTTAGTAAAGTTATCCTAAAGTAGTTAGGTCAGTAAGAGAAGTAGTTAATAGAGCAAAAAATGTCACTGAAGTGAACAAAACCATCTTAAATGTAATGGTTCACAGCTAGACAGAGAGTGAGTAATCATAAATATATTCCACTTATGTTTTTCTAATAGGAGGAAACTTTGGCATTTATTCCACTTTTTTCATACGGAAGGATATTAGATGAGATTGTACAGCCACGGGGTTAATACTCAGATACCCTTGTATACTGCCAGTCATCACCACCAATAGCTCTGGAGAATGGAAAGTGTATGAGATGGTAAAAGTAATACAAAGATGTAAAGCAAAATGTTGCCTTTTGTACCTGGGTCAAAGCTGGTTCGGGTGAGTACCGTTCCAGAAATAATTAGAAATACGTGCTATATATGTTGTAATTATCTTCTTGAATTTTTAAAGATTATGCAAGATAGGCCTATGTGCTAATATCTAGTTACGAGTAGTAGGACACCGGTACAGCTAATTCTACGCAGGCTTGGTAGGAAATGATACATGCTTTTGGTTGCCCACGTCTCTCACAAGTTGTAAGTGCTGGCCGGTTTCAGCCCTTTCTCCTTCCCCGCCTTTCTCGCATTGGCTTCTCCAAAAGCACAAACTCCGCTTCTTTTTTCCTGATCCTTTGGTTGTCATTTCAGGTCTGGGGAACGGGAGCAGGGAGCAGTGCAAAAAGGACAAAAAGATGGAACCCTACCAAGCTTGCTTGTACTGCTAATGCTTTTGCTTTATTGTTTATATTTTAGCTGAGATGGTTAGTTTGAAAAGTTGGCGCTTAACGCATGCGTGTGTTTGAAGGAAGGGTCAAGTCAAAGTTATCAGTGACTAAACGGAACAGGAGGCTCTGGACAAAAAGGTTTTGTAATGAAAAAACGTTTATCAATAGAAGCAAAAATTCTTCTGACAAATCATTGCTGAACTTCCACTTGTGTTCTGGTTTGTTCTGGTTGTGACAGCAGTAAAGGGGTTGAACAGTGGAAATGATGAAGAGACAGCAGAGAGGACTCTGCTGAGTAACTGGAGAATGAACTACTCTGAAAATGAATCGGAAGTTTAATACCATGATTTCTGAGACTTTTTGTTCCATTTCATTTAAGCTTTTCCCCCTAAAAAAAAAAAAAAATAATCTTCTTTCAGTCTTTTTTGGTGGCATATGGATAACTGTCTGAAACATCAGACCTAAGCAAACAAAAGTAGAACTTTACATTCATTTTAATGCAATTCTCTTTCTGCAATATGTCTGGGAATATACTAATATTTGAGGATAAAGAATATTGAGCTCAATAAAAACTCAAAAGCTTTCAAAATTACAAGCCTTGAGAGGAATTTGAAGTCTCCATATTTCATTCATTCAATGTCATGACATAACTATACTACGACTTCCAAAATTGCTTAATTGTTTCCACATTTTTTTTCCTGCAGAGAATTGTGTGCTTGCTTGGTTTTGGTAGGATGCAACATTTACTGTGTGTTTTCTTTAGTTTTAAAGATACAGGTGAGATGAAGCAAATAACAACTCGATTCTTTCATACAAGAGTTGTTCTTGCCCCCAGTGAGGTAAGGACACTTTTGGGACAGTGTACAGCAACGCAAACAGCTGATGATCTATCAGAACTAGTGTGGCCAGCAGGAGTAGGGAAGTGATCGTGCCCCTGTACTCGGCCCTGGTGAGGCCACACCTTGAACACTGTTTTCAGTTTTGGGCCCCTCCCTACAAGAAGGACGTTGAGGTGCTGGAGCGTGTCCAGAGAAGGGCA